ACACGGTCCGTGTCGCTTTCAATCAACAAAAGCTTCAATTGTATGCGTGTAACTAACTGATACCTCTGGGAATAACTGGAGTTTTAAGTCAGTATGCAGATTGTAATGTAACACAAACATGTAATAAAGTTCACTGAAAAATTGTTTGGGCACAAATATTGAGTTTAGAGCTACTTTGTCTTGTGAGAAATTTAATAGTTTCACAGGTACTGGAGTGTCAAAGTGTTAATAACATTTTATATAAAAAAATTAGGTTTTTTAATAGATTTGTAGCCAGTTTTACTACCAAGTTTTTTAGATCAAGGAATCCAAGTTTCCCATTACTTGGCTTGCATTTCCTAGGAGGTGCTAGCTGCGAAAAACTGGAATCATTTAAAATATTACAATTTTTTCGGGTTTTAAAATATCGTCTTTTCTTTGACAAAATATGTGTACTTGAGTTAAGTCAAGCCACATTGACGCCCCTGATTCGATTAATTTGCGATCTGGTAAGTATACAGGATGTCTCATCAAAGTGCCACCGACATTGACTAGTTGTTTAAATGGTTCACCCAAATTTTCTGTTCATTTTTGAGTTTCGGATCAAATTTGCACTCATTTGATGCCCTATTTTCGCTCATTTACTTCTATTATTCATGGGGAATTTCAATTTTCTGGCCAACGCAGCACTTGCAAAGGGTATTTTAAACATTAATTGATCTGAAACGGTAAGAGAAAATGAGTTGTTTCTCTCGTCGGCTGTTAGAAAATTAGATGGGCTTTCTTTTCCTTACTTTCAGGCATCATTAGCTGCCCACATGTACAGGGTTATTCACGCTATACGGCACGGAAGTTTGCGGCTAAACCGTTTGATTTTTTGCAAAGTATTATTTCATGAATTGTCCGACGCCTACCGAGCGCACATTTTAAAAATATTTTTGTAATGTACAGGGTGTCCCAAAAGCTCTAAAGGTATCAAAGTTGCGTTTTTTTAAATAGAATGTCCTATATATTATTGCATATTTGGATTCGCTGAACAAAGTAAGTGTCTGTTTTAATAAGGTTTATAACACCTAAATCTTAAGGTTTTTTAAATAATACGAATTTAATCAAAATCTTATCTAATTTTCACGTGTCAAATACTTTAGAAGTATTTAAGTTATGTAAGCGTAATTTA